TTGCCGGCAATGTCAGTCTGTCCGCTCAGGTGTCTCAAGCCCGTACACAGTGTCAAGTTGAGTCTGCCAGAAAGACCGTTTCAAGCAATTACCTGACCATTCACAGCAAGTAACCCCTTAAGATAAACATGCTGGAATCTCTAGGCTGCCTTCGTGAATCTGCATCAAATTTTGGACCGATTATCGCAAAGAAATATTCGACAAGAAACCCCCTTAGAAGCTTACTCCCTCCCCTTCCCAGTTACACTTGTTTTTGAATGGAACGTATTGCAAGTCTTAATGTTCTTATCGTGTAAAATTTCTCTATTTTTCTAACTGGAGTAAGTTGCTGCCGGTGTAAGCGCTAAAACCGGCAGTTCATACCGTATCAAATGTTGGGTTATGTCGATCGAGTTTGTGGTTTTTCGAGCTGTTTTCTTCTAACTATGCATAATGTCCCTACACAACCTTTAACACTTGGCGTTAAACTATGAGGCAAAGCAGTAAGCCGATGCTTATGTATCAGCGCTTTAGCCCGAGGGCCTGAACAGTATGCCTTCTAAGGGAAAAAATGAACAGTCAGTATCTGATCTGAAGCCGAGGTGATATTTTTAGACCACGTACTTCCTTTGCCACCATGTATCCGTCGTTTGGAATGATCTTGGAATCAAGTCGTTGGTGTCTTAAGGATATTACTGGCAAAAATCTGGGGCATTTGTCTGCTTAGTAACCGGTCCGATGTTTCACTAGTCGCCAACCAGGAGTGATAAAATGGTTTTTAGCTTCACTCCTCGTCCTTATTACACCATGCATATATACATCCTGCTAAATATTTTGCTACGTATGCCTTCTTCCAATCAAGGCCTTAGATCCCTCAATGCTGCAGGCCTCCTCGATTCCGCACCACGGGACTGCATTTTCACGTTCTGCAGTCAGCATTACAAACCCCTTCATGGAATCCACCACCGACACAAGCGAAGACACCAGCAAGAAGAAGGAAAGCACAGTTGGAGGTATGTCCTCATATTCAAAATGCCTATTTACGTTCCTCTCACCCAGGACATCATGAATCCTACGAACGTGTTTGGTAAAACTGACGATTTAATAATGTTGCCTGTAGCACATACTTTAGGCTAACGTACATGATCTTTGCTAAGAGAGACACGAGGGGCACTCTCAGATGTGTGAGTTTCAAGCCGCTTACCCCTTGTTGTGTGAAAACCTAGTTTAGAAGAAGAAGATGCGATCATTGGAACAAGGACTTTATTTTCCTGACGTTTCG